ACAATACAGAACGAGTTAATCGATTTATGTGGTAAAGAAATTTTAGATAGTATTTTAAAAAAAATTACAGACAAGGATATTTTTTACAGTATAATTTTTGATGAAACCTTAGATGTGTCTAAACGATCGCAAATTAGTTTAGTTATAATATATATTGATGAAATAACAATTAGAGAAGATTTTGTGGCATTTATAGATGCATTTGACGAAGCTCAACTTATTCAACTAAGGAGTTCTAATAATAAATTAAGTGATGATGAAGAAGTAAATATAGACAGTTCTTTTGAAAATTATGAAAGTTGCAAAAATGTAGAAGAAATATCGATAACTGGGAAAATGCTAGGGCAAATTGTTTTAAATCAACTGAGAAAAATGGGTCTGAATCTTAACAAATGTGTAGGTATTGGTACTGATGGTTGCAGTGTTATGACATCAGAAATTTGTGGAGCTGTAGCTGAAATTATAAAGAGTTCACCAAATGCCCGTAGATGTCCATGTTACAACCATTCTCTTAATATTTCTATTTCAAAATCAAGTAAAGTTCAAAGTATACGAAATTTAGTTGGAATTATTAAAGAGGTTGTTAGATTTTTTTCTATGTCAGCAAAACGTACAGTTATTTTGAAGAAATATGTTGGCCATCAGCTAACTGGACTATGCGAAACGAGATGGGTTGAGAGACATGATGGAGTTACTAGGTTTTTACAAGACATGCCTAAAATTATTAATACATTAACTGAAATTACAACATGGAAAGATTCCCAAACTTCTGGAAAAGCAAAAATACTTGTAACAACATTATGTGACAGTGAATTTATTATTGCTATTTTTAGTTTTGCGCATTTGCTCAATTTCATTTATTGTCTAAGCAAAATTTTCCAAAAAAAAAATTTAGATTTGAATACAGCAGCAAATACTATAAAAGATACATTAAAAGTTCTTTCCAAATGTCGTGAAAATGTTGATACAGAATTTTCAAATATTTTTAAATCATCTGAAGATTTAGCAAACATTATCGATGTAGAATTACGAATGCCTAGATCATGTAAACAACAAAAAAATCGATCAAACTATTTTACCAACAACGTAGAAGACTATTACAGAATCTCGATATTCATTCCTTTATTGGATAATGTTATAGATGACTTAAAAACACGTTTTTCCCAAAATACATTGGAATTATTTCAGTTATCTTTTTTTCTTCCATCTAATTTTTTAAAATTACCAAATGGCCAAAAAGAAGAAACTGACAAAATAAAATCAGTTGCTAAAGACTTTCAAAAATTGCTTAATAAAAATGAGTTATCCTCCCGATTAGTTGGTGAATACTATATTTGGAAAGAGAAGTGGATACGTGAATTTCAAAATGATTCATCAGTTATTTCTAACCATGCAATTGAAGTATTACAGAATTGTGATGAAGACGTTTTTCCTTTAATAAATAAAATATTAAAATTATTAATTACATTACCCATTAGTAATTCTAGCTCTGAAAGGTCATTCTCTTCACTACGGCGTCTTAAAACATGGCTAAGATCAACAATGTGTGAAACACGTTTGACTGGACTTGCATTATTAAACATTCACAGAGACATTGCCATTGATATTGAAAAATTAATTCAACGTTTCTCCAAAAGCAAAAGAAAAATTCCATTTGCAATTTGAAAACCATAAATAATAAGAAATTAACCTAACTTTAAGTTGTATATTTGATTAGAATTTATCATAAATTATAAATTACAGTAAAAACTAGAAAAAGTAATGTAATTAAACATTTGATAAGCAATAAAATAAAATCTTGAGAAACCTAAATATTTAAAAAAAAATGTTTGTATATATATTTTATGGTCTACTTAAAGGTAAATTTAATTTCAATCATTATTATGCTAGTGTCAAAATAATATAACATAATAAACCCTGATAATTAATTGATATTATTTGATGCCCCCCCCCCCCATAAATCTATTCTGGATCCGCGCCTGCCTTTAAAAAGTAATTTGATGAGACCATTTGCACGAAGACAGCTTAATAATATGAAGAGAATTTATAACTATCGCCAATCTCGCGCAAGGAGAATCGTTGAATGTGCTTTCGGTATTCTTACAAAAAGATTCAATGTTTTTGAAAATAAAATGTTGGTTCATCCCGATAAAGCTACTGTTATAACTCAGGCTGCATGTGTTCTCCATAATATAATCATGGATAAAGAAAGTAATTTGACCGATATTCATAATGAAATTGAAACGACTACTTTGCACGTATACCAAGAAGATAGTGACCGACCCACAAATCGTAGACCATTAATTCATGACATATTTTAATTCAGAAATAGGATCTGTTCCCTGGCAAAATACTTATATTATTTAAAATAAGTTTATATTTAATTATTTATGAATTATATTTAACTAAATAATTAGTACATATATTAATGTCATGCACAATAATTTTCATTAAAATAATAATAATACCGAAAAAAAATGTTATTATAATTTTATTTTTTTAATATATATTTATCATATTGTGTTACCTATTATGTTACAATATAATAATTAATTGAGTAAAATAAAGAAATATTTAAACATACCATTGACATTCATTTCTTTGCTGATTTCTTCCCATAATTTGTCTTGTACTGCCCTATTACTGTGGTCTTTGTCTTTATAATCGTATATTGATGGCCTTTTTTCTATTAAACTTATTAAAATTTCACCATCACATGCCATTGTAAAATTGCAATAATATAATATAAATTACAATAAATTATAATAATATAAATAATTAATAATAATTAATAATTTGTATTATAATAATATTATTACTATACTATAATATGTTATATAATATAAACACGATATGATATATAAGAATATTCGTTGTTTAATTATGACTAATTATGACTATCGAAAAATGCAGACACTTTAGACAGTATCAGTCATGACTAATTGTGTTAAAAAACGTTTTGTTTTGACTATGTCTAATCAGTGTGCGTATGCAATGTAATTTCCGATGTTCTATTTTTAACAAAACTGTGTTAGGCTGACTAACACTGTCTAACGCAGTTTTGCTTTTTTGGTGTGCGATCGGCCTAAGTAATTCAGCAGCTCGTTTTATGCGGTACTTTTCAGCTACGCCTTTAACTGGTTTTTTAAACATTGAATTCTTAATATTATTAATTTTAATTTTTACTATTTCGTAATAGTTTAATAATAATTTTTAAATATAAAACAAAAAAACAAAAAAATATCTGATGAAATTTAATTGATATCGATAATTATGTATGGTAGCTGACGGTCGTATCTACATGATACGTACCTACTACGTATTTTTTGGTTATTAATAGTATTATTTGTAATACAAAGTCACTACCTGCTGATAAACATATTATCTTTATAAACATAATTTTAATCTTGGATAATATTTTCTTCTGTAATTTTAACCATAATCAGGAGTGGATCTAGGGGGGTTCAGGAGGTCAGCTGACCCACAATTAATATTTGTTGACAAAATTGGTCTCTTGGAAATGTTTTTCATAAGACAGACTCTATCTTAATTTTAATTTTTTCCCCTATTTCTCCATTAATTTGAATTAATTTTTTTTTTTTGCTCCTTCGGCAATATAAATAGAATCTGCAAGTGAAATTCCTTATTTTTCAAGTCTTGTAATTAAATCGGGTAAAAATCTGAAATTTGATTTAATAAATACAAGTTGAGCTTCAATATTTTGATCAGAGAGATACTTTTTTGAATTTCTTATTGATACTGTATCATTGTCATCAAAAGTATTAATGATTACTTTTATTTGCTCAAAATTTTCATAGTAGTAATTCGCTGCTTTTATCCAAGTACCCCATCTTGTCAAAATGTTTTCAGGTGGTAGTGATAGAGATAGGGCTATTGACTTAAAATATTGAATGCGAGAAGGTGCTTTACGAAAAACCTTTTTCACATTTGCAATTAGTTTGTCAACTTTTGGATATCCTGTTCGTACAGTTTCTGCGATCCTATGAAATGCATGGGCCAAACAAGTAATGTGTA